GATTTATTATAAAAAAAAAAAACGCGAAATGCCCAACACAACAAAAGCGCTTAACTAACAAATGGAAAAAGTATAATTATTTAGAAAATACATTTTCGCATCTTTTTCACTTTATAGATAATACTAAATTGCATGATTATCAATAAAAACATTTTGCGCATTTCTCGTTATTATAATAAGTTGTAAGTAAGCCTCATGTGATTATTATACCTAATACTAATTGTAAAAAAAAATAATGTGGGTAAGGACCATAATGGTGAAGCTTTTTGGAAACATTTGATGCAAATGCTTTTTGCAACTTTTTTATCTGTGATTTTGATTAAACTTTACGTTTAGTTACGAGGGGAATTCCAAAAAGTTGCAGCAATATAACGTATACGAGGAAAATTTTAAAAGTTTTGGATTTTTTCAAACTTTCATTTGTCTAAATGTTTTCTTAACTACTTTTTTATTACTATTAGAGTAAAAATTAGACTTGGCACTGCTTTGAATATTTACAACCCTCCGAAAGACTAATTAATTAAAAACCGATAACGATCACATGTTTAACTAATTTTCAGATCCATAGTGACTAGCAGTCATTCGCCAATTTAAAGGGGAATGACTCCAAAAATAAAACATTTTATGAGATCAATATTAATAATAAACCTAAAATTTACAACTAAAATAATTTCTAAAATCGTATCTAAATAGAAGAAAATGTCCTCGGTAATGAAAAAAATTTTTATGAGTTGAAAACCCTGCTTATACACGATAATATAAAAAATAAGCAATTTCAATACAGAAATAGAAATGCAGATACAAAAATGTAAACATATTTAACGATCATTCAATTTATTATAAATTAATAATACTTTCACAACATTAAATTCGAGTAATGGAATTGTTGTATTGTCATACTGGAAGGAGAAACGATTTAATTTAATTACAAATGTTTATCTAATTTTGCTTTTTTATTTTATCTAATTGAACACAATTTAAAGCACCAAGGCAACAAAACGAAAACAAAATTTCCAACTTAACAAACAAATCAAAAAAAAAACTTTGGTTTAAATTTTGTTTCTTTCATTTGTTCAAATTCTAAATAAAAATTGCAAGCAAGCTAATTGTTACCTACTAGATTTGTACTCAAAACAAGACAAAATCAGTTTCTATTCAAATAATTGCCCAAAGGTCAGGAAAAATCTCAATATTATCACAACACTTACATGATTTATTGATTGGGACTTCAAAAAGAAATTTAAAAACAGTTTTTACCTCACGATGAGATTCTCGTTTTCAAGTAGATAGTTTTTGGCTACACATGACAAATAATTCTTTACAGAAACAACTAAGCCCAAAAAATAACTCGAAACACATTGAGAAGAGTTTTTTTTCACATCAGGCGTTGCAAAACGAACCACGGTTTGTTGAATGACAGTAAAGCTTTTTGTATGGAATGTATTGTACTGTGACAGTCTCAGAGAGCTGTTTTATTCGATCCCATGGGCAAAAATCATCACAAGACCAGGCTCAACCATCATATCGTCTCCCATGTGTTGGTTGTCACAGTGCAGAACAAGAACGGCTTGCTTGCCAGGGATTCTTTTACACACATAGTTCTCATACTGACGTCTATTATTCTGTCTGGTCTCTAATGAACTCAAACCAGGCGGCCAGCGCCTTTCATGACAATTTTCCATCAAATCTTCCAGGATATGTGACGGGCATCCACTTTCGCTCAGTGTCCTCTTTATCATCCGCTGTTAAATCACGAATTTCAATAAAATTACTGGCAATCGTCTAGAACAATGTATTCATTAAATTACCTGCAAAACTTCATCTGGGGTTGAAATCATCCCACCCCAACGCGTAACTCTTGCCCTTTGTAACGTATTACTCCATCTCAGTACTTCATCTCTCTCCATTTGATCAGCTATGGCTCGCATTGAAGGATTCGAAATGCGCATTGCTTTCATAAAATCCTATGGAATTGATTTTGGATTAAAGTCAATTACCATATCAGCTTAGGAATATTCTACATTACATAATTAATTTATTTATACCTGTGGATTTCATTTTTTAATGGTTTCCTATCAATAATTATAGCATATTGTTTTCATAATTGTTAAGATGTTCTTTTGTTTTCAAGATTTTGATCAGAAACAAGAAACTTAAGCAGTTTTTGTTTACCTTTAGAAGTTGTAGCTCTCTTTTCTGTTCACCTATTGTAAATTTTTGTTCTGTCAATTCTTGCTGAAAGTCGTTTAGTTTTTGTTGTTGTGTTTGAATTAGAGCCCTCAATTCTTTAATGCAGTTGTGATCCTTGAGCTCATCCTTTGGAATTACAAGCCCGCAGCCTTGCTCACAAGGCAACGGTCTTTTGGGGTTATGTTCACATTCTTCTAAGTGTGAAGACAAAGTATCTAATTTTAATATTTGTGTACATCCATACTGTGCATTTTCACAACGAATACAAAGCCTGAACAAATCGAAATGTAAGTTATACATATGTAAGGTTAGTTTTCAGTGTGTTTGTGAATACGTACCTTGCCAAAAGATTCCGCAGTATCCGAGGGACTTGTCGCAATTGTGCAAAGGTAATATGTTGTCTGTCTACTGGACAAGTGGGTTGTCGAGACACCCATTCTTGTATGCAGGCTCTGCAGAATGCATGCTCACATACAGAAGCCTAATGATCGAAATGATAGATTGTAAAATACCTACAAAAATTATAGATAACCCTACACACCTGTAAAGGATCTTCTAAAACGCCTGAACATATTGGACAAATTAATTCTTCGTCTACATCTCCTTCGAAACGATCCAACTCAAAACCCATTTTTTGTGAAGCACTTTCACTTCGAAAATTAACTAGTTTCTAATTATTCACTTATTCAATAATAACCAGCAGCTGCACGTAAACCAAAACAAAAATTTAATGTGTCTCTTCATTAGTGTCAAACAAAGATGAAATTCTTAAATAAATAAAAGCAAAAGAAAAATAAATAAGACAGGGTCATTGGTCATTCTGTCGAACTGCAATGCTGCAAGTTTTATCACATAGATTATTTTATCACATGGTACATTTTAACATATTGCAGTTATTTATAACGTATTACTCGGTAACTTACATAAAATTCAAAAATATAAAAAAGAACCTGACGAATAAATATTTATTTATTTTCTGACAGATTTCCTTTAAAAGTTGTTATAATTCTATTGCCCTACTTAAGTAAACCATACTACCTATATACGTAAAAAAATTAAGTTTTCGGAAACATTAATAATTCTCTACGTAGTTATATGCTTTACTACTATTTATTGCTGGTTGCAAGTAGATGATGTTTGTAATTTAGTACTTAATTAACTTTTAAACTTTTTTGAGATTAATGGGAATAGGTATCTGTACATAAATCAGTTAATATGTCTATTATAATTAAAAATAAGTCTAGATTGTTCGGTATCTTATTTCTTTATTGTTTTAAGTATATTCCAAATTAATTAAAGGGTCTTTGCGATGTGTTAATATTGATTAGAATCGCCCTGTTCTTTGGGCCGTTATTTTATCACACCTGCCGAAGGACGGTCACATTCAGTTATTAATAACGCGTTATTAATGTCTGCGCGGTAAAATTCAAAAATTTAAAAAGCCAACTAAACTCCAGAAGCTGGCAAATATAAATTAATTCTATTTCCAACCAAGTTTTTAATAATTCTGAGCACTGCATATAATGTCATGAGTAGCAGTTGTCATACTGACATTTTTCGAAAATTTCCAAGTAAATTAAAGTATGAATTATTTATTAAGGAAGAGATGTTTGAAATTGAAGCAGTTTTAACAGACAGTAATGTCTTTTACAAATTGATGGTTTATCCAGGCACGAGCGTATATGACATAAAAAATGAATTAACAAAAATCGATCCCAATTTAGTAAATGTGGCTCAACTTTCTCTAAGCGTAACAATTTCTGGTAAAGAAGAAGTAGATAGCGCAAATGTTGACGAATTAGATCTTAAAGATGGATCAAAAGTTTACATTCGCCAATTGGGACCACTAATTTCGTGGAAATTCGCTCGTACGATGGAATATTTAGGACCTTTGCTGCTTTATTTCATTACCGCACAGTATTTGCAAAAATTTTGCGACAACAAGTATGAAAGTTTGAGCGCTTATGTAAGACATCATTTGAAAAATTTTTGCTGGGCCATCCACTACGTAAAAAGATTGTTAGAAATCGTATTTGTACATCGTTATTCACGTATAAAGATCCCTTTCATCAAATTTTTCATTAATTGTGGCTACTTTTGGGGGTTTACCATTTATGTGGCGTACGACATAAATCATCCCTTGTATAGTCCCCCCTCAAACACTTTGTATTTCTTGGGACTATTTATATTTATTTTATGCGAATTAGGTAACTTAAGTACCCAACTGCTTGTCTCTAAAACGCAAATAACTGATACTGACGCCCCTAAGATCCCAGTCCCAAATAGCAACCCCTTCACAAAACTTTTTAATTATGTCTCGTGCCCTAGCTACACTTACGAATTTGGGGCGTGGTTAGGGTTTAGTATAATGACACGGTGCTTCCCCGCTTTACTATTTGCTTTAGTTGGGTTTTATAAAATGACACGCTGGGCCATTAAAGAACATAACAATTATAAGAGGGTGTTTAGTAATTATCCCTCCAGAAGGAAAGCAATTATACCATTCCTAATTTAGTAATGAAATTTTATTTTTGTAAAAATGCGTACATAATACAGTTATAAAATGTTAAAAAACTTGTAATAAAAATAAAGTTTTAAGTTTGTAACAGTTTCATAGTATACTCATTTTATTAGGGGACATCTATAAATTACGTAAGGGGTGGGATGTGTTCAGCAATATCTCATTTAAAGGGAGCGTGGGGTGAATGAAAATATCACTTTTCATCTTTTTATTATATACAGTTAATAAAAGAAAATTATTCAATAAAAAGAACAATCTCACGTAAGGTGAAATATCNCTATATTGCACCTGCAATTTTACTAAGTAATTTTATTTTTTCATAAAACACTTATTATACGACAGCAGCGGCTATATGAACGAAGTATTAGTATTATCTAATATTAAAGTGCCCGCTCTTCGAGTGCACGAACCGCCACTGCATTTTTGTTTCTTCTACTGTAGTTTCACTTTACACTTCAATAAAACGCGCGTAAATTAATAAACAAATAAAATTAAAATATTGAAACCAATCACCTAGATAAAGCGACAAGTTCTCTTAAAAAAATAGTTAAAACAATTTAAAACAATAGAGATCAGTAAATAATAAAAAACTGCAACAGTCGAACGCAGGCGGAAAGACATCGCCAAACAATAAAAGAAGATATAACAAAACTACAAAAATGTAAGTAGGTAAGTATAAAATATTTTTTTTTAAATACTTGAAAAGACGAATGCAATCAAATTAACCCAAAAAATACCTATTGTATCTCCTTTATTTGTTTAAAAAAATGTATCCTACCTTTACAGCAGTCTGGAACAGTCCTGGGAACTCCAAGGTAATTTCTGTTTCTCCTAGCCGGCCTGCAACAAACAAAAGACAAAAATTAGTACAATTTTTAAAAAGAAAAATGAATTACAATTCGACTAAATAATAAATCATAAGTATATTTTTCGTAAATTTGTAACTTGAGATCATTGAATTTTAAAATTTTCTTAAGTGACATCTACTGTTATACACACTGAATGTGGTCGAAAAACGACAGATGGCTCCACTTCAGTGTTTTGTTCTCCGGTATGGATTCAGTGTCAGTAAGGGTCATTGATGAATATTTCTGTATATGTTTATTACAATTTTACGAAAAGAAAAAATACATACTAAACGCTTCAACCCTCACCTCAACGTGATAAAGAAGTGTTCCAATATGGTAAGTAAAATGCATCATTCTGTGCTTTGCTTTGCAACTTAAAGACGCCATTATCTTCATGTAATTGCTGCTAACTAAACAATTTTGTTTGGGATTTGATAATTTAAATGTTCTTTTAGACGTGTGTGTACCGCACAATCGAAACATCTGTTCACTGAGGCCTAAGAAAGTCATCTTGAAAAATGATCTTTAACGAATGGTAAGTGTTATCTTCATCAATTTTAGTCAGTAATATCCTGAAACAGATGTAAAAATTTAACATTTTATTATTTGCAGTAACCAAGATGGACTTCATACAGTATATATGATACTGTAAGTCACCGTGGTTTTAATATGAGCTGATGGACTAATAATTTGGTAAGTATTTATAAATTGTTGCTTAAATTGCACTATCTACTAACATAATTTGATTTTAACACAAAACCCATTTATTTCTTTCAAAGCTCCAATTACTCACATTATTATTTCTCAAAATTGTTAATTACACAAAAAAAAAATATATTTATCTTATGTTAGACTGCCTTGGTTAGAAATAACTGAGAATCTACAAGAATGCCCCAAAACAGATGATGATCCTTGTATAGCAACTTACTTTGTTTTTAGATTTACTTTGTTGGTGATCACAAACAAAAAAAAATTGCTAGTAAAACAGACAAACATATTTCTTTGTTGCAATATGAGTAACAAAAGAGTAAATGTGTAAAATAATTGAATAATAAACAACTGAATTCTAAATATTGCAAGAAACTTTTAGGATTCCGCTATTATTGCCGCTGCTTTTCAATAGTAACAGAAGAAAATCATAGCAGAATAATTGTAAATTAATAAATTGGAATTGTAGTTGCTAATAAAATACAGATAATTATCCATATATATTAAATAATGACAGCAATTCACTGTAAATGCAAAATAAATGTTGGAATGTGAAAACAAAGTATCATATTTAAGTATGTTATTCTAAACAATTGTGAAGTTCTGTGGATTGTTTATTATACATGTAAAATAAAAAAACGAAATAGAATATCTTTTGTGATTCACATTTTATTATTTTACAGGTCACAGAAGTTCATCACATTGCTCAAGAAGAGGGTATGTAAACTACACACAATTTATTGATAAAAAACTACTTAATTACAATCGATTTAAAAACAAGAGGCTTATTAATTAATTAAATTTAAAATCGGAAATAATTGCAGGTGAAAACATGTGCAGAGGTCTTTTATGTTGTCGTTTGTTCTTTAAAACATTTGAAAACTAAGCTAATCTTTTGTTTAAGAAACAAATGATATATTTATGTAATATTAACAATACAATGCAAGGCAACGTTTTTTGTTTAAAGAAAACTGAAAAAATATCAAAGGTCCCTTAAATAAAAACCGATTTTAATAAGAAAAATATAGGCAAAAGTGATAAAGTAAAAAAGTTAATACATGTTAATAAAAATAGCAGTTAGTTTCTTTGCCTATATTTTAATGAAAAGTGTACTAATTTATAAATCTTTACCTTTCAAATTAGTCAGTTTTGGGAGAGTTTAAACGTCTGATTGTGAAAGTCCGACTGCTGGAGCAGACGAAGCCACTTGAGAGGACAGGCAGTTTAAAATAACGTTTTAAACATTATCATCTATAAATAATAAGGTAACTATTTGAAATTATCCTTTCTACTGTTTAACACAGTATTTTGTTAAGTTAAAACTACTCAGATGAGTTGATAATGAAAATTTCTAAGTACAAAAATTAATAACATTTAAACATAAATAATTGCTACAATAAACATTGTATCTTGCTCATTACATATTTACTTAATAGAAACAGCTACATAATATCATTAATGTAGTTTATTTCACAAAAAGTGTCTTTATTCGAAAGAAAGTAGTCGAAGTAGTACAGCAAGATCTCGACAACCAAGGCAAACAGAAATACGTTGTTCTTTAGTTATAAACAAATAATTGATGTGTGCAAACCTTCCATTGTTGTTAGTAAATAATTTGTTTTCCTCATTTTACATGAAAACAAATGATTGAGTGTTTATAAAAAGGTATCAATTATTTGTTTGAAAGTTGTCCAAAGTTAACCTTACTTTCTTAATGGCAACCACACGATTTATAAATAAAGA